ATGGTTTATAAGTTAGGGACCACTGGTTTCAAATTAAAGCATAATTTTATGTATTGTACATGTCATACACAAGAAACAGAAGGCGTTGGATGATGGCACAACAAAAAACCGAAATCTATTTTTATTCTAGCATTGAGACATTGAAATACCTCATGAACCCGGATGTTGCTGAACACAGAGGGGTCAAAGGTTGTAGTTGATGAATTCAATGATCAAAAGTAGATATCACAGACTATCTATGGAACAATGCATAACAATTGCACATCTTTCTGTTTTTTATGCTGGTCAATTAATAGAAATATGCTAGATTCGATGGAGCTCGTGGACCATCATCTCATTCTTTTTAAGCACCCGATGACCAAAAATAATGTTAAAACATTTGACGTTACAATAATGAAACAATTTTTACAAGTAACAAATATATATATGTTAAAAAATGCTTGGCTGAAAAGGGAGGGTGGATGTGTTGATCACTTCAACTACAAACTCAATAAAATTTTCACCCAGTATCAGATTTTAGTTTAGTTCTTCAACTTCAAAAGTATTTTAATAAAAACATATATAAAATGCCCCAAAATTTGTCCAAAAAGGAAATCTGAATGTCTTGGTAAATATATATCTATCAATCTCGGTCAAGGGTTTTTTTTAAAGCAATAACTGGACATGTACAATCAGTAAAGCAATAACTGGACATGTACAATCAGTTTTGAAAATGATCAATGGTTGTTGCTTTTGTATTCTATAAAAACTGAAATTCTTATTTTTCTTTTTAGTGAAAATTAAAATCTCCGTTTTTTTAATTGTATTTGAATAATATATGCGACCATCCAATTTTCCCTTTTTGCGGCCCACAATATCAGAAATGGGTCAATTTAAAAAAAAAATAGACCGATTGTCAATTTTTATCCCTAAATGTCTGCCACTTATGACTGGTAATCAAATCCCAACGTATAGAATGCTCATAAATTGTATTGATTAAATATCTAAAAGAGCCATTAATAAAGGAGCATCCTGGACAAGTCTTGAGAATCTGATGCAAAAAAAATTGTACAATTTAAAAACCATAAAAATGTTAGCATTTAAAATATGGTGAACAACATAGCAACCGTAGTCCCAGGGCCGTGCAAAGGCTGAGGCATGTGGACCCTGAGGGTGATTTTTTAAAATTTTGGATACAACTACAGTGGTGATTGAGGATATCACTCACCTCATAGGGACACCCCCCCCCCACTCCAGCAGAATTTTTTTGAGTGGATTCAATTACGTTTAATACAGCTATTTGAGATTTGTCGGGCCCAAAATTTCTGTCTGCTCTGGGCCAAAAAAATCCTCCTTACGGCCCCGGGTAGCTCTATTATGTAATATAATTTTTATGTATTCTAAGACAAGCCTAATATCCGTAACTTGCATCATGTCAGACCGTACAACCTTGGGGCCTTTCATCCAAATTTGGAGTGCACCAGTTGTGCAAGTGCGGAGTGACCATAACCAAGGTGGGCCCCCAGTTTATAAAAGCGCACAATGACATCACAAACCATGAAGCCCAAACAATCATACAAAAAAATCTTTCAAAAAGATTTCAAAAAAAAAAAAAAAAAAAAAAAAAATAAATAAAAGAGAGAGAAAAAAAAAAAAAAAAAAAAAAAAAAAAAAAAAAAATCTACAAAAAAAATAAAAAAAAAAAAAAAAAAAAAAAAAATTTGTATAAAAGGGAGAGGATCCAAAAAAAAAAAAAAGGGCACATTTAAAAATCTTTACTTTTCCTACAAACTTATTCCTGTAAGTTTTATATTTATCTACGGTATTTAAAATAAAGTCTTGAAATAATTAACACAGCCATGGAGTGACAATAATAAAAAATGGATACCGGAGTGAAGAATGTTGAAATAGCCTCTTTTTCAGTTTTAAGTTGCAAGCCATTCACAACATGAAATCCAATATTTTTTATCTTTTGTGTCTAACAAAGTCTTTTCATTTTTTGGGGGGGCTGGGAACAAATAAATAATACCCAGAGAAAAAAAAATATTGTGTAAAAAAAACTTTATGGTGAGGAAAGTATGCTTTCTTAACTTTTAATCATTTTGGGAGGCGGGAGGGGTGGGGGTGGTGTGTGTGTGTTTTTTTAAAATTTATTTAAAAAAAACAAAAATAACTCTTTTTTTTTTGGGGATTCAGTGAATACGTCTCTTTGCTTTCATCACAACAATTATGTATGTCCGACTCAAAGACTTCATTCAATTAACTTTGTGCTCAGCAAAACATTGCACCCTAAGATGCTTTAAAACAAATGGAATGCAAAATATAAATGTGAGGTTCCTATGGGAATAAATAAAAGATGACTCTATTATTATGGACTAGAGTTTTGCTGACATATAAAGTTCAAAATATATTTAAATAATTAAGGACAAAGCATAAATTTAATTTTAAAAAAATAATTAAAAATAATAATAAGCCTTTTTAAAAAAAAAATAAAAAAATCCAGCATTAATAACAGCAAGCGTTGGTTGGCCCAGTGTTCAAATAAAAATGTAGCAACGCCAATGGTGTGAACAATGGAACACAACATAATAGGGAATGTGTCAGCCATCTATCAATTTAAATTTCTTTGTGTTCACAACCTTTCTACATCTCCTTCCGAGTTCCACAGATGGAGAAACTTAGCATACCTGGTACTAAAATATTCATTTTTATAACACTAGACTAGAGCCATGTCCTGTACATCTTAAAACTTCATTATTTTTTAGCATTTCAGAAATGCCCCTTGCCTAATGCTCTAATCACCCCCTCCCCCCCGCATAATGCCCTCTAATGATCTAATTCCCACAGCTTAAAGTCCCTTGCCTACTGCTCAAATTCCCCCATCCTTTATGCTGATATCATAAATGGATGACACAAGTCCTATTGACACAGATTTTCCATTCAGATTTTCCTTTCTAAGACTTTAGAATGGACATTGGAAATGTGAGACGTGAGTACTTGTTATCATCGGACAGTTTGCCGTCATCTCTATTTATAATGATGAATTATGGGCCACGAAACTGGCGAAAAATCGAAACTTTGTAAACAAAGGAGAAGATGAAGCAAATTAAAAAAATTGTTTAAACTGCTTTCCCCTTAAAGCATCGCAGCACCAAACAAAAGAGGTGGGTTTTTTGTGTGGAAGTTTAAAAAAAAAATCATTGTACCTATCAATCCAATAATAACATTTATTAATTTATGCATTACATTCAACATACTCAGTATCTTCAGTCAAAATGTAATTTTTGTAATTCACTTTTGAAACATCAAACGTACATTATTGAACGTCTCTGACTGATGGTAAGAGTGGCTTGTACCCATCCCTCAATGCCAGGTCTCTGATGGTAGAGTGGCTTGTACCCATCTCTCAATGCCAAGTCTCTCACTGATGGTAGACTGGCTCAATATGGCAAGGAAATCATTTACGAGTACAAAGCTGTTCATTTGTGTGTTAATTCAGAGCCCCATGACAATTTTTTTCAGTAAAAGGTTTTTGGATCAGTGATGGCATTTGAACAATACAAAACTTAAACCAGTGAACCGGACAAAGTAATAGTGCTACAGTCTGGAGCAAGCTCCGGTTCTACTTCAATAGTTAAGTACACACTTGTAATGTTGAGCAGCCAGAGCTCGTATCAAGGGAGTTTTGTCATACGTAGAGCTTTGCCATCACATGACATGACATAAACATCAGATGGTAATGAAATACATTAGGTAGTATAATACAGTCTAATGAGCTCATGTCATCCATCTAATGTCATCTAATGCCATCATATAAATGTCAAGTTTCATGACATATTGTACCATCCATATCTTCTCACAAGTGTACAGGCAGCATCAGTGAGATGATGGTGAATTCTGATATCAAAATTTTTTACCATCAGATGGTGACCACCGTTGGATGAACAATGAACATCATATACCTTATACACTATTAACATGTACTTCCCATACCGCCTCTCACTAGTTCAATACATTTCATACACCTGTTACAATTTACTTCATAAATCACGAATGACCAGTGGCATCCAAAATAATATATCAAGGATTCACTTCTCAAAATACGAGTCCAACTCCAATAAATCAGGGGCAGCAACTCCAATAAATCAGTGGCAGCAACTCCAATAAATTAGGGACAGTGACACCAAATGACCAATTGTTAAAAATAAATTCATACAACTCGTAATCCGTTAAACAATTGAGACATCCTAATGTTGTCTTGGATGGCCCTGCTTGTCTCGGATGGCACTGCTTGGCTTAAGATTGATGACCTTATCTCAGATTTAGTTTGGCAAAAATTGTAAGATGCTATTGACATAAAATTTAAAATGATATCCCATAGACGTTGTTACAGACCAGTTTGAGATCATAGACCAGTAAAAATATAAATGATTTTCTCTGGTTATCTGCTCCACCTTTTTTTTGTTTTTAGTCCAGCGGTTCTCAAACTGTGGGTCACGACCCCTTTCACAGGCATCACCTAAGACCTTCGGAAAACACATATTTATGAATTAGCAACGAAAATAATTTTATGGTTGGGCGCCACCACAACATGAGAAACTGCATTTAAGGGTCGCGGCATTATGCAGTTGAGAACCACTGTTTAAGTAACTCATATTCACTAAATATTATACAATTTAATGCTCTAGAATTGTCCATAAAACAAGCCATGTAAAGACCTTAAGAAACTCAGGTTGACCAACTCGCATAAAGTGATAAAGAAGAGTTGTAGTAATATAATTTTTTTTTTTTTTTTTTTTTTTATTGAACAGAGTTTCTGATATCAAAACTTCATTTTTTCATTGTAAACACTTTATAAGAACACCCTTTACAATTAAAAATTATTTCCACTTTCCAAATTTTTTTTCTTTTTTTTTTATTTTATAAAACAAGCCATGTAAAAGACTTAAGAAACTCAGGTTGACCAACTCGCATAAAGTGATAAAGAAGAGTTGTAGTAATATAATTTTTTTTTTTTTTTTAGTGAACAGAGTTTCTGATCTCCAAACTTCATTGTTTCATTGTCAACACTTTATCAGAGCACTCTTTACAAATAAAAATTCTTTGCACTTTCCAAATTTTTGTTCTCTCTTTTTTAATTGCCGACTCCATTGCATTGTGGAATGTTATAGTCAAATCCTGCCCGACAAAAACAACAGGTGGAGTCCTACCTAGCCTAGATTCAGCTATAACTGAACAGAAACGTTTTCAATGGCACGTGAACAAAAAAAAAAAAAAAAAACAAAAACAAAAAAAAAAAAAAAAAAAAATGAAAGTTTACAATCAAATTTCATGTTTGTTTAAAAAAAAACAACAACCCTGATCATATAACAATGAATTAACTGTGAACCTTATAAAACAAATTGGAATGGAATAAATTATGTGGTCATTTTGTCATGCACAAGGATGATTTACACAGAGTTCGATTGGGGGGGGGGTGAAGTCAATGTCTGATAGGGATGATGTCAATGTTTGACAGGGATTATGTCAGTATTCAATGGGGATGATGCCAGTTTTTGATGAAGGTGAAGTCAATGTTTGATGGGGATGGCGTCAATGTTGGATGGGGTGAAGTAAATGTTTGACAGGGGTGAAGACAATGTTTGATGGGGATAAGGTCAATGAGTGTGTGAAGGAACAATGTGGCATATTATAATACAAGGACGTCAGGAGGATTCTTTGTGTGTGCCAGCACGCAGTGTTCGCTGGAGGCTCACAAAGGACAGCTTCATCTGTAGATGGACAATGACGGCCTGATTGATGTTATATTTTGAACATTAGATAAAATGTTTCATTATCTTTGATAGCCATAATTTCAAAAACAAAGATACATGTTTATTTTTTTTATCCTCACTTATAATCAAAATCTTTTCATTGTACGATGCGTCTAACAAAAGTTTAACAGCAGATCTGACTTCAGAATGTTATTTGGACTTTGTATCATGGGTCTAACAAAGGTTTAACAGCGGATATGACTTAAGAATGTTATTTGGACTTGATACCATGTTTCTAAACTAAGGTATCCCATCAGATATGACTTCAGAATGTTCCTTGGACTTTCATGTGAGGCCACACTAGAAGCTTTTCAGTTGTTATTTTGTAGCTTGGCCTTTGATTTGAATTTCCCAAGCCAATCAGAAACAAATAATTTTGGTAGGAGTGCTGGGGCTAGAATTTGAACCAGAAACCATCAGAATTCTTGCATTGTGTCTAATCGTAACAATCCCTTTGGTGCATTTAAAACTAAGTTATAGCAAAACCTTTTTTTCTTCTTTTTAAACAAGAGAACAGGGATAAACAGTCTGTATTTAGTGTGCATTAAATTATTATTAAGGTGGTTTAACTCATTCCCGACGGCAGTGCTACTTCGGTACTTAATTTATATGCCTGAGAGAGAGAGGTAACTCCGTTTTGCAATTGACTTACATTTGTAAAATATTTATTTAGTCTGCAAAATATTATCTAATGTTAATGAATTAAGAACAAATGCAACCAAAAATGAATTAGGTTTTATAAAAATATAACATTAGCGGTGAAAAAACAATGAACAATGACCCAAAAAATTGATTTTCGGCACCTCGGACAAACACATGCTAAATATAGACATGGCATACTAAAGCACATATAGTTTCAAAGTGAACCAAGATAAAAACTTCCGGTTTTTAAATTGAAATCACACTGAATCGCGCCCATCGCTAGAAGTCTCGAGGGGAGCAATATTTTATTGCTATTTTTATATAGAAATGAGAGAGGTCACTATGCGCCGGGACACATTTGGACGCATCTGTCGAAACCCCCAAAGGACGCATTTAGTCGCAACCGTCGGGAATGAGTTAATATACCGCGGTAATCCAGCCTAGGGCGAGGCTCACTGCGCTTCACATAAAATATATCTACCGTGTATATTGCCACTGACCTGCTCAACAATGTTTATAGAAGCTGAGAGCACCTCTTCCCATTTGTTGATCTCGCTGTCATGTAAGTTCTTTTGTTGCAGTAGCAACTGGCTCCACTCCTCTTGGGTGCGGGGATATTTTCTGTTAGGACAAAGTGTCTTCTATTACAAGAGGATATGATCATTTTTTTATACTTTTTTTTTTTACTCTTGAATAAATGCAAAGGTGAGCTGTTATATATGATAGCTGTGAGAACTGAGGCAAAAGATAACCTCATGATATGCCTCATGAAAACTGTACGGGACTTACTTCAAATAGAGCCTCTTAATGCCATAAAATACATCCATGAAATATAGGTTATAACAAAAATTGTCATACATTATTCCCATATGCAGTATGTCTAAATTAGAGACTGCCACATATTGCCACTTTATATTAGCAGAGTCTTTTAACAAAAATAGTCATACTAATATTGTTCCCATTGCGCAATATTGCAGTATGTCAAATTTATAAACCACGATATTTCGATCATCTATTCAAATGGGAGCACAAGAAGAAATCATGAACAGTTCCTCGTTTTTTTTTTTTTATCTGAAGTACCAACAACAATGCTAATTATAGCAATGGTCAGGCATTCAGCAGGAGATGCATTGTGGTTGGTTCATCTGCCCGCCAACTGGAAGTGAATGACCCGATGAACCCACCCCAACACATTTCCTCATCAGATATCTTTTTGAAATCAACGAATTCTTTAAATGAACTAAACAAATTTGATAAAAACTTATTTATGGGTCAATACAATTTTTTTCTAGCCCAGAAGAGGACTTGGAAAAACAGTTTTAAAATTTATACAACTACGAGTACCAGTTCCAGCATTGTGATTATGAACGGCACTCAAACACAGTTTCTGGCTCTTAAGATCATTGAAAACAAGTAACTAGTTACAGTTTTCCTTCCACCGAAAAAAGTAGTCCCTCTCTTTCTCTGGATGAACTATAACAAACATATCCCGGCTTTCTACATATTAACTATAACAAATTTATCCCTGTTTTCTCCAAATTAAGTATAACAAATCATAACAACGACACATATATTCCTTGATTAAGGTACACGCAGAACAAGCACTCACGCTAAGTTTTCTAGAGATTCCTGTGTTGGGTGGCCGTAAAGGGAGCTGGCGTAGCTCTCCAGAGACCACAGTTTGTAGAACAGAACGGCATTGAACAAGAGCAGGAGGACAAGTCTGGGGAACGAAGCAAACATTTTGTGATCCCTTCCTTGACAAAGATAGTTTTTTTTTAAAATTCCAAAGTTCTTCTTTTGACTCCCCTCCCCACCCCACTATAATGTAATAAATAACACAGTACAGCTGTAATAAAGACTGGCTTTAGAGCAGGAGGTTCAGGGGGGATTGAAGGCAAGGGCATCTATCCACAACTCTGTGAACCACCCTCCTTCCATCCCTGTTGCGCCACAGGGCATTTAGGGTTTTGGCCTGCGTCACCACTTCCTTCCACTCAGACCTAACTGATGCTTTTCCTTTCCCCTGCTTGGATTCCCAGATGCTGTAGATTTTTTCCACATCTTGTCAGAACCTCTATTCAGCCATTTTTTAAAAATTGAAGCCCAGTGGTTCCCAAATTATAATGCTTGTAACCGAGCATCAGACACTCAAATAAAGGAAGTAATACATAAGAAGAAAGATACAAATAACCTGACGCAAGACACCAAGTTCTACTGTCTGACAACAGAATGTCTAGGTTTATGTAAGAATCAAAGGCAAGAGAAAAGGCCCTAAAGTTTTGCCCCCCCCACCCGAAAGAAAAAGTCAATACTCACACAACAATAATGATTCTAACCAAGGTGTGGGCATTCAGTTCAATGAGCTTCTCCTCTCTGTACATTGCTGGAAGAAATAGAAGAGATTTCAACCATTAGTTGATCAAACTTGATTCAATGGAGTTGGTGAAAGCATTAGATTAGTTAGACACAAACAATTTGTGTAAATAAAACAATATTATATCAGCTTTGGTTACCGGACTCTTCATACTTATCTCTAGATCCTTTACAAAAATTGATGGTTACTAAATCTCAATGATCACTAATTAAGTCATTATTGTCACTAAGGGAGTTCAATTTTTGGTGGTTTTTTTTGAGGGGTGGGGGGTTATATTATGGCTAATCGTTGCACTAGAGATATACTCTAGATGTCTTGTGTTTAAATTGTTCTAACTGTAAAATGTTTTGGTTAAAATATGTATTGATTTATGCTCTGAAAATGAATATGTACAATGCAATCAAAAACATTTCCATTTATTTAGATATAAAAAAAAGAATCTTATCTTATAGATTTAATCTGTAAATCAGGGATACATTTTACAATTAATTCTGAAATTTATTTAAAATTATCACTCTTATAACAATTGCAATTAATTATAAAATATCAACAGACTTGCATTATGGTTAAAATTAATTTTGCTTTACCTTTAGATGGAGATGGTGGAGTTGACGTCTGCCTTTCAGCAAACTGCTGCCGTGAGGTGATCCCTGAATCTGAGACTGTGGTGTGCGGTTTGGCTCGCTTCCTTCGAAGCTTTTTCTTGGGGATGGTTGTTTGGTGGCCCACAACAATGGCCTCCTGTCTTTCGGCTTCTCGCCGTAGATGGACGGCTAAACACGGGAAAAAATTCAAATTTTTAAATCTCTCGATTTATGATGATTGAGGAGTAAAATAGTAAATTTGTAATGTGTTGAGGATTTCCTTACGATGAGCTTTATTTTAAACAAAGAGAAACATATACCAAATCCCTACGTGTTTACACCAAGATTGTGTCAAGCTGGTCCAGACAGAAACAAGAGGCACTGATGAGATACTTACACAGCTGCCTGCAGTAGTCTGTCAGGCCGTTCACTGCACTCTTCTCAATCATACCTGGGGAGTCAAAAAGTTATGCATGAACTTAGACTTGTTAACTCTTCAGTTTTTCTCAGTTCAAACAGAACTGTGGGTATGCGGTCAGGAGCGCTTTCATTGCTCAGTTCAAACAGAGCTGTGGTGGTGCCTTCAGGAGCTCAGTTCCAACAGAACTGTTGGAGTGCTGTCAGGAGCAGTTTTAATGCTCAGTTCCAACAGAACTGTGGGAGTGCTGTCAGGAGCAGTTTTATTGCTCAGTTCCAACAGAACTGTGGGAGTGCTGTCAGGAGCAGTTTTATTGCTCAGTTCCAACAGAACTGTGGGAGTGCTGTCAGAAGCAGTTTTATTTATAAAAGTATAAATTAAATTAATTCATTCATTTAATTATTAGTAATTGGATATCAAGTGTATAGAGAGGCTCCCTCATTTGCTTGTTGGGTATCAAGCTGCATAGAGTGGCTCCCTCACAGCATACACTGGATACATGCACTGCAGTAATCCAAAAGAGGACATGTCTGGATACAAGCACTGAAGTAATCCAAGAGAGGACATCTCTGGATACATGCACTGAAGTAATCAAACCCAGCAAAACCAAAACTCACCTTTGAACATTCCCATGACATGCTTCTTGTATTTGAGCTCGCCGGTGACCACCACTCTACATTTGATGGGGGAGACACGTGTCAGACAGTAGCGCAGCAGCACGTAAAATGAGTCGGCGTAGGGAATACCCCCATTGCAGCACTCGCAGTCCACATGGTAGATTCTGCCTGCTTTGCTCATGTTGTAGCAAATCTATTGACAAACAACGATTGTAATCGTTTCATTGACTGTAAATTTTAGTTTGTTTGAAAATGCAATCCCTTATGAGTCCAATAAAAAAACGAATACATCTCTTGACATTTAAAATTTTCCTTTTTACCAAGGCGACCTGGATTAAAAAAAAATAAAAAAAATAATAATCTCAAGATGACTGATCTAGATCAAAACCAATGTCATAATTTTTGTGTAATGATTAATTTCAGCTAGACAAACATTGAAACAGGACACTAAAAAAACCAATTCCTATCCAGTTAGCGAACTGGTATGATAAATAATAAACATAGTTTTTTTGACATCAAGCCTAAACTGAATAGTGTTGTTAAATTTCAGGAACGTTTAGCACTAGTTAAACTAGCATGAGTCAGGGAACGCTACGTGTGTGGTCATTTGTCAAAGTGCTGACCTGTCTCTCTGTTGATGGAGACGTCTTGGGACCAATGGAGTTGTTCAGCGTCAGGGTGTAGGAGATGTTCCGCACTTTATTTCCGTTTTCGTCTGGTTCTTCCTCCCAGTTTGGGAGATTCAAGTCTGGAAGAAAGACAACCACAACACAGGTCAGCACGACACTCAAAATCCAGGCTTATCCACTTAGTATACAAATATCTAGCACTTATGCCACTTTGAATTCAAATGTTGTGCATAAAGCAAAAAATCTTACCAAACGTTTTCCTTGAGCACACAAAACTCCTAAAAAAAGGAGAGTCTGTAAAAAGACACTCGAAGACAGTGTCAATGTTGATGCTGAAGACCTCGTCCAGATACATCTTCTCCAGGTGGTCATGGCCTGCACAGAAATATTCCCCTGTGGACACAGTACACCTCAAGATGGAAAATTCTGTTTGGTTTTTTTTTTTTTTTTGATAACCATTTAGGTAAGGGAATAGAAGAACAAAAAACAAAATAATAAACAGCTATTAATAGAACAAAAGAGAATTCCCCTGGGGACCCCCCCCCCCAAAAAAAAAGTGAACCATTAGCAAAAGGCTCAAATAATAATCAAGTCAAGCATTTGCAATGAGAAGGTAATGGTTAGACAATGTGCAGTGCAATCTACCAGTAAGCTATGTGGTCAAAACTATGCAAGGTGTATGCACCAGTAAAGTGGTGTCATCAAAAGTAAACATTGTCACTTGTGTTTGCCCCAGTATAGTATAGATGGTTCTGAGCTGGGTCCACAATACCTATCAGGAAAATGTCTTTCCCAAGACCAAAATGATAATATGTAACGTATAACAGCTACTGTTGTAATCAACAGTCAAAGCAATCAAGTCACATACTTGTGCCACACAAAGCAATCAATTCCCACTCTTGTGCCCCCCATACCCCCCTACCCCCAACCACACACACATAGCATTCCAATAACACTGACAGTTGCACAGCTTGCATTCATCCCACCACTATTTCTACCTTCGCTGTCATCGCTGGTGTCCAAGAATTCCGGGGGCAGGTTGGAGAGGGATGGGAGGGCCAGGGGATCATTGGGCTGAGTGAAGACCTCGTCGGTGACAAAAGCATCTGTGTCGTCATTGCTGGCAGTGTGCATGTTCTCTGCCGTCGTGGTGAGAGCCTCGGAATCTGTCTGCAGCTCCTGTGTTACGTAAGAAAATAATTATAAAGCTTGTCAGTGGTTCCCAAAAGCCCAATAAACCTCTCAACAGGATATGTTACAAAACCTAAACTATACTGTAAAACAGTTTGCAGGAGAATTCGGACAGCGAGTCAACTCCCTAAAGTTGATTAACGCCCGTAAAGTCGGCAAGTATGTCTATGGCTCAAGTTAAATATTTAATGTATGAGATTTAAAAAAAAAATTAAAACATTCTGCAAACTCCTAAGACTTTTTGAGGAGTTCCAACCAATATTCTGAGGCCCTCTAAAAATAATTGAAATATCAATTCATAAAATAAGTCGCAGGTTGGTCGGCTGCAGTCAAGCAAACATTATACTGGTGAGTCGACAAAGCTTAAAATGCCATTGTCATGTAGTATTGTTTTGCTGCATCATGGCTTGCAGTGTATTGTTATGTGAGCTCCGAGCCATTTTTTTCCCCTCCCTTTATTCATGAGTTGAAATCATTCAGGTAGGAGTTAAGGACTATAAAAGGCATGTACATTGTGTGAGATGATATTTATTCATATATTTTTGATAAGACAAGTTATAATATTTTTGGATAGGCAGTTCTGTGACTAAATTGTTGTTATTGGATGTGTATGATTATGGGACATTTACATTAGTTCTGAATGTCATGCATTTGTATGCATTTTTGGATTGTCAATGCATGTTGGACTGTCACGCATACGAAGCCTTACAATAAAGGAACGTAACTTTGAAATGCCATGTGCTTGTAGGTAGATATTGATCGTCCATTGAGCGCCGCCCCAGGTATGATGGGTATCAGGGAAATAAAATACCAAGGCAGGACCAAAAATCAGAACCTGTTGCCTTGTAGGAAGTGGAGGGATCCTCAAAGGCTAGGGAACCTTACCCCAAAATGAAGGCAGCTACCTAGAGAGCTGGATGGGGCAGCCAACCTGATGGTTGTGCGTTGTCTACCAACCCAGCCTTGTAAAAAATAATAAACGTTGACGAAAGCCAAGCAACAAAATATGACCTGGGCTGATACAAATGGAAATTGAAATTTGCCTGGATATGGACATTATTTTGGATTGATGATGTGGAAAAGAATCTACAGCAGCTGGAAAATAAAAGCAACAGTTAAGTCTGGGCGAATGGAAGTGTTGAGGCAGGTTGTGGTGACGCAGGGAAGATTTGATGGATTTTATTTTAATCTTACAACACATTAGTCCTGCAGGGTCCAGGAGGAAAAAAAGCTAGGGACGAAGTTTCAGACCCTATATTTGTGTCTGTGGCCATCACAAAGGGGTCCAACTCGTCGGGGGGTCCTACTCGTAAACAATGTTGCATCTGCCACAGTCATCTAGTTACTTGCATCACATTACATTTTAAAATAACATTTGAAACATGCCAATCAGGTGAGAACGGCATTTAAATTATGCCAATCAGGTGAGAGTGGCATTTAAATTATCCCAATCAGGTGAGGAATGGCATTTAAATTATGCCAATCAGGTGAGAATGGCATTTAAATTATGCCAATCAAGTTAGAATGACATTTAAATTATGCCAATTAGGTGAGAACGGCATTTAAATTATACCAATCTGGTGAGAATGACATTTAAATTACACCAATCAGGTGAGAATGACATTTAAAAGAAAAAAATCTGTTTTTAATAAATGGCTTTTTCATAAACAAAATATTTACGTTAAAAGGATTATACAACTACCCTTTCCTTAAAGTACAGATACTAACAATATTCTTTTGAGTTCAGGAATTCCTCTCACTCAATATGAACATTTGATAGCATTAGAATGATCATAATCAGTATCTGACAGACCACAATAAGTGGTTCACAGAAGATTTGACTCACCTTGATCGCAGGTATTTCCTCATTTAATTTCTCTGTTAACTCCTCAAAACTCTGAGGTGGGACGTAATCTTCATCCTCTGTTGTCAGGCCCAAGTCATCTCCGTAGTTGTAGTGTATCCAGGTCCACAGCTCCTTGGCTGACATGGGCTGGAAGTAAGAAAAAAAAGGACAACATTGTTTAAACACATGACAATCACTGTGATGCTAAAACCCTAGACTTGTCAATCACTGTGATGCTAAAACCCTAGACTTGTCAATCACTGTGATGCTAAAACCCTAGACTTGTCAATCACTGTGATGCTCTAATGGTCTAATCCACTGGCTCCTCAACTTTCTTTTCATTCTTCTGATCTTTGTCGCCACCAGGGACTTCACTCCATTCTTTTTCTTTTCTTTTCTTTTTTTGTATAGGTGAGATACACATATTTCATTTAACTGTAATTTATAATGATATATATATATATATATTATTATAATGATAAAGGCATTGGCTGAAACATTTGAATTTTTATAAATCATAATTGCATCTTCCTATATCTAATTTTATTCACACCAATTGTGTTTCATTAATCTACATAAAAGTTTTATCGTAGTCTGTCTTACAATCTTTTGAAAACCCAAAACATGCCAGGGACTTGAATTAAGTGTGGACAGTTTCTAGACCCAAATGAGACGGTCGATGAAATGTCAAGCAATGAGGTGACACCAAAGTTAAATGTATCACTATAGAAGTCTCATCTTAGCCGGTGAGGAAAATATTTGCCAATGCTCCATTTTAAATTGTTGAAGGATGTCACTGTTGCTGTTCACTGGCCGGGATTAAACATTGGTGTACTTTTTTTTTTTATGACCAAAAATGTGGTACCGATTAAGCAGAAGCTTTAAATACGTGGCGCAGATTCAGCAAGTGCTTTAAAAATGCGGTGCTGCTTAAGCAAGAGCTTTAAAATTGTGGTGCTGATTTAGCAGGGGCTTTAAAAATGAGAACAATGGATCAAATGTTCACCTCTTGGACAGTCCCATTTACACAACGCAACTGTCATCGGAAATAGATGCAATACAATAAACAATTTTCGATTATCTTCTTATCATATGATACAATCCTACAATTAAAGAGTTCAAAGCTGGGTATACATTTTTAAAAATCCCCACCTGGTCTAAGAGTGCATTTTGCCAGATTCGAAACAGCATCATGTAAGTTTTATCCCTGGACCCAAATGATGTGAAGAAGTAACGTTCCTTCTCTGTTGTGATTTGTATGGCGTTGGGGATAACTCTGGCCGTTTTCTCTTTTGTGATGGCAGTGATCTCCTTGCAGGATATCATCAGCTGCATACACACACAAACATGCAGAATAAAAGGACTTCAAACAAGTAACACATCATGGTGCAAACAAATCATATAGACTTAATAAGCATTGTAAACTGGCTGGAACAAGTTTTTGTTATCACAAATTATTATTGGATTGCTTGTTGCCAGGGACGCATGAGTTTTTTACCATGGTTTTCCCCATTAAATATCATGAGTTTTTTTACCATGGTTTTCCCCATTAAATATTATGAGTTTTTTACAATGGTTTTCCCCATTAAATATCATGAGTTTCTTAACATGGATTTCCCAATTAAATATCATGAGATTCTTACCATGGTTTTCCCAATAAAATACCTTGAGTTTCTTACCATGGTTTTCCCCATTAAATATCATGAGTTTCTTTCCATGGTTTTCCCCATTAAATTTCATGAGTTTCTTACCATGGTTTTCCCCATTAAATATCATGAGTTTCTTACCATGGTTTTCCCCATTAAATATCATGAGTTTCTTACCATGGTTTTCCCAATAAAATATCATGAGTTTCTTACCATGGTTATCCCCATTAAATATCATGAGTTTCTTAACATGGATTTCCCAATTAAATATAATGAGATTCTTACCATGGTTTTCCCAATAAAATACCTTGAGTTTCTTACCATGGTTTTCCCCATTAAATATCATGAGTTTCTTACCATGGTTTTCCCCATTAAATATCATGAGTTTCTTTCCATGGTTTTCCCCATTAAATTTCATGAGTTTCTTACCATGGTTTTCCCCATTAAATATCATGAGTTTCTTACCATGGTTTTCCCAATAAAATACCTTGAGTTTCTTACCATGGTTATCCCCATTAAATATCATGAGTTTCTTACCATGGTTTTCCCAATAAAATATCATGAGTTTCTTACCATGGTTTTCCCCATTAAATATCATGAGTTTCTTTCCATGGTTTTCCCAATAAAATACCTTGAGTTTCTTACCATGGTTTTCCCCATTAAATATCATGAGTTTCTTACCATGGTTTTCCCAATAAAATATCATGAGTTTCTTAACCATGGTTTTCCCGATAAAATATCTTGAGTTTCTTACCATGATTTTCCCAATAAAATATCATGAGTTTCTTACAATGGTTTTCCCCATTAAATTTCATGAGTTTCTTACCATGGTTTTCCCCATAAAATATCATGAGTTTCTTACCATGGTTATCCCCATTAAATATCATGAGTTTCTTAACATGGATTTCCCAATTAAATATCATGAGTTTCTTACCATGGTTATCCCCATTAAATATCATGAGTTTCTTACCATGGATTTCCCAATTAAATATCATGAGATTCTTACCATGGTTTTCCCAATAAAATATCTTGAGTTTCTTACCATGATTTTCCCAATAAAATATCATGAGTTTCTTAACCATGGTTTTCCCAATAAAATATCTTGAGTTTCTTACCATGATTTTCCCAATAAAATATCATGAGTTTCTTACAATGGTTTTCCCCATTAAATTTCATGAGTTTCTTACCATGGTTTTCCCCATAAAATATCATGAGTTTCTTACCATGGTTTTCCCAATAAAATATTGTGTATCTTACAATAGTTTTCCCAATAAAAATGGTGTTTCTTATCAAGGTCTTCCCAATAACATATCATGAGTTTCTTACCTTGGTTTTGCCCCGCAAAAATCATGATTTTCTTACCATTGTTTCTCCAATAAAATATGAGTTTCTTACCATGATTTCCCCAATAAAATATCATGTTTCTTACCATAGTTTTCCCAATAAAAATGGTGTTTCTTATCATGGTCTCCCCAATAAAATATGAGTTTCTTACCTTGGTTATGCCCCCAAAAAATCATGATTTTTTTACCAATGTTTCTCCAATAAAATATGAGTTTCTTACCATGGTTTCCCAATAAAATATCATGAGCTTCTTACCATGCCACCCCCCCCCCCCGCAAAGTATCATGAAACATTGTTTCCCCAATTAAATTTTATGAGTTTCTAACAATGGTTTTCCCAATAAAAAATCTTGAGTTTCTTACCATGGTCTCCCAATTAAATATCTTTTACCTTGGTTATGCCCCCAAAAAATCATGATTTTTTTACCAATGTTTCTCCAATAAAATATGAGTTTCTTACCATGGTTTCCCAATAAAATATCATGAGCTTCTTACCATGCCACCCCCCCCCCCGCAAAGTATCATGAAACATTGTTTCCCCAATTAAATTTTATGAGTTTCTAACAATGGTTTTCCCAATAAAAAATCTTGAGTTTCTTACCATGGTCTCCCAATTAAATATCTTGGCATAGAAGCAGATCCAGCTCTGTGAAATATACATGCGACCTTGAACGAGAATATCTTTCTGTAGGGCACATGAGTAATCTGGTGGAGAGTTCATGGTATAAAATAGAATTTAACGTAGTTAAACTAAAAATTTAATAAGATGATATATAACCTACATGCTAAAACAATAACATTATGCACAACTAAATATGTTCCAATCATAAAATAAAATCAATTAGAATTTCAAAAGACATTATTACAAAGCTAAGCTGCAGGGACCTGACTTTAAAAAAAAAAAAAAAAAAAAAAATAATTTAAACCTTTTACTTTAAAAATAAATATAAATAATAATAATCAAAAATAAAAAAAAAACAATTAAAATTTCAAAAAACATTATTACAAAGCTAAGCTGCAGGGACCTGACTTTAAAAAAAAAAAAAAAGAAAAAAATAATTTAAGCCTTTTACGTTAAACATAAATATAAATAATCATCATCAAAGACTTTTTCGGATTCATTCTACGACCACAAACTGGACATATTGTACATGCTTAACTAAACTAAACTAAACTAAATAAAAGTTTATTTACTTCCATTCTAAGCTTGAGTTTACTTTAGCATTACAGACTCAAAGAGTGAGATCAGATGAAGATTAGTGTATATGAAGAAAAGAGATATGTTGACATTCTGAGTTATTATTTCTGTAAACGTAAAAGTATATGAATGTGCTAAAAAATATTCAATGTTAAATAAAATGTGTTGAATGTTGATTAAATTTGTTGAATGTTGAATACAATGTGTTGAGTGTTGAATAAAGTTGAGAGTTGCATGAAATGTGTTGAATGTTGAATAAAATGTGTTGAGTGTTAAATAAAGTTGAGAGTTGCATGAAATGTGTTGAATGTTGAATAAAATGTGTTGAGTGTTAAATAAAGTTGAGAGTTGCATGAAATGTGTTGAATGTCGAATAAAATGTGTTGAGTGTTGAATAAAGTTGAGAGTTGCATGAAATGTGTTGAATGTTGAATAAAATGTGTTGAGTGTTGAATAAAGTTGAGAGTTGCATTAAATGTGTTGAATGTTGTATACAATGTTGAATGTATTTAAATTCGCTAAGATGTATATAATGATACCAGGCTTAACTGGATCCCCCCCCCCCCCCCCCGGCGCATTATTTGAGATTAGGAATGTTGCCGCTGTTGACCCCGGTGAGTCACTTGAGGCTAAACGTAAACGGCACTAACAATAGTTTGAATTTGAAAAAGAGCATCAGGTCCAACTGACCAACAATAAGTCTCTCATCTTTAGGGACATCTTTGAACATGCGCCGGTAGTCTTCACTTCTAGATTTGTATGTGGTGCTCATAATCTGAGGGAAAAAAAATGATACCGTATGCATGATAAATATTGATCTGGCAGAAACTTATTTATGAAACTCGAGACTATAACCAGTGGTCTCTTAACTTCTATTTGTCATGCACCCAATATATGTATATATATAAATACAATATATATACATATATATATATATATATATATATATATATATATATATATATATATATATATATAAATATAAATGTATATATATATATATTTATCTGTCAGAAACTTATTTATGAAACTCGAGACTATATACAGTGGTCTCTTAACTTCTATTTGTCATACACACAATATATATATATATATAAATACAATATATATATATATATATATATATATATATATATATATATATATATAAATGTATATATATATATAAATATAAATGTATATATACTATTACCATATTACCAACATTTTTAAAAGGTAGATTAGATTTCTTTGGATGCCCATTTACACATATCCCAGGTGTGCATTGTAGACCACTGGTTTATAAAATTAAGGCAGAAACGTAAATTGTGCTACAGCTGAGCTCTGAATTCTTATGGTCCAATTTGGAAACATAAACTGACCCAAGATAAAAAGTAGACATAACAAAGCATGGAGAACATAAAATGATCATTAAACTTTTAAAACCAAAAAAAAAAAAAAATATTTTTTCATCTTAAAACTACAAAGTGTTTTAAAAAAATATTATTATTTCATGACTGAGATCTTGAGCCAGAGCTTTTCCACCGCCCCTTGATGTTGAGAATTACTGATTTAATAAATTAAAAAATTGAAATATTATCCTCGTGCAGCTACGTTAAAGGCACCTGTCAAGTAAGGCATATGAAAGTAATGGCATCTGTTCTTACTTAAGAAAAGAATATATTTCAATGGATCAGTATCACCCATTCCATACGTTATCAGGACATGACGCATGTTGCCAAAAAGGCCTAGAAAAATAGAATTCTTGTCATTTAAAATTAATATTTTTTTCATTATTATTGTCTTTTTAAAATATTTTTTTATGGGAGCGGGGGAATAAATAAATTCGAATAAACTTGTCAAACTAAGGACCGCATTAAAAAAATGTTAATGAAACAAATTTAACAATTTAAAATCCCGGCTAATTTGAGAAAAAAATAAAAATTTGGATAGCTAATAATTCTATATACAAAAGCAGACCCTTAAAAGCCTTGTGACTATGAATAATTTGAAAAAAGTTATTTCTGCAACGATAGTTAGCCAAATATAAAGGATATTGAATTTGAAAATGAGTTCAAACAATACATATTATAATCAAAGCAGAGTATTTATAACTATTAACTGGAGGTGCAAATCATAAATATAAGCCAAAGGTTCAAATTAAAAAAAAATATATATGTACCAAGGCACCTATAGGCCAAACTATTTTTTTTAAAAAGTCTTGCTCATAATCTGAGGATGAAAATGATATGGAATGACTACTATTTAAAAATCAAATTTTTTTTGTAATGAACAATATTGGAAGGAGGCTTGCGCTCAGGATAAAGAAAGACTAAATTTTGAGGGTGGAGAGAAAGATGGAGACGGTGGGGAATAGAAACTGCAGGGCTCTGAATAATTTTGCATGTGTTGGATACTAAATGCTGAAATGAAACGCTTTAACAAATGGTCTGTTTGTCTCAGCTAAAAACAAGAGCATGTTATCCCTACACATTAAAGTAGTATCAATTTCTTACTGGTCAGTAGCAGTAATTACATCCTCCCCATATTCAATGCCAGTCTACAACACCAATAGCCCCCAAGAACAAATTTTCAGGTGCAATAAATAAATTTAATGCTCCGCCCCCACACTCATATACTAACACATTTGATGTGTCAAACGTACAATGGGTTTGTTCTGTATACCTTTTCAATGTGTTCATTCCTGTGGGAAAAACTCAACCTTGTCACCCACACAAGCATTTCAGAGGAAATCCATTTTACGAAACATTTAAAGCATAAAAGGTGGAAGATCTGAACTTTGGACTCATGAAAAGATTAATGGAATTTTTGTTTTGATAGCAATGCCCTTCCATGTTGCCTGCACAATGAAGACTTCAGACAGTGACAATCACAAGGAAAGGAAGAAACCAGTGCTGGCTGTTTGCGCCACATAATTATGCTATCACTCTTTGAATGTAGCTTGTCAATAGAGGTTTGAACCTACACCAGTGGCACCTTAATGATGCAGCACTCAGACTGCGAATACTTGAATTTGATAAAAGGTGTGATCTATGAGAGACCATGCTCTTTGGGTGTTCTCGTTATGCACATTGGGTGTTCTCGTTATGCACATTGGATGGTCTCGTTATACTCTTTGGGTGATCTTGTTGTGCACTTTGGATAATCTTGTTATGCAGGGGGTCTTAAACTGTGAGATTTCCCTCTGACCAACAAGTGAAAAGATAAAATATTGGGTCGTTTCATAAGGAAGTCGATATATTGGATTGTCTCATAAGGAAAGTGAATGTTTTAAGTGGTCTTGTTAACAAAAGGCATTTTTCAAGAGGCATGTATGAAGATAAACTGTAACAGCTTTAAAGACTTCAGGAACAAACAAAACAAATGAAAATTATAGAAAAACGGGAATGTAGTTAGTGTGTCTGTGCTAATTAGCAAGCAGCCCAGCCAAAATGAGATCATTCCTCCTCACTTATTACACAAACCAATTCTTTTATGGCGACGGATGATTTGCTGTTAAGAGAGATTAATGTTATTTAACAGAGACATTTAAAGTGCATCAATAAACAATGCTCAAGTGATTGAAAGAAGATGAGGTCGTTCTCCATCACTTACCGCGTTCACGTAATCCGTCAATTTTTTAGTTGTATCCCAGATTGTGCGCATTTTTAGTCATGGAGCAAGAAAATTATTGCAATGTGCAATTTTTGAGCAGATTTTCCCCCACTGCTCTGATTTTGGAATACGAAATCAAAACCTAGATACCATACAGTCAAGGTACTACTATAATATGCCATTCACCAGCACAGCAATCATTGAAAGTTACACAGAACAGCTATCCATTTCAGAAATGAAAGATATCCACTGCTAAAATAAGTATAATCAAATGTTTACCATCAGATTGTGCCTACCCCATGAACCGTAACTCTGAAAATCATGAAAAAAAGTTATCTAATGACATCATTTAGATTTGAGTTTTTGTTTAGGTACAGTAACGCTTATATTCTTATTCTAATTTCCCAAGAAATTTTCATTTCATATGTTAATAATAATGTACATACAACTCTGCTAAACTGACTTATATTACTTTTAAAGTAAAGTACGTCACACTTTTGAACTAAAAAAAAATGTTGACAAATTAACAACTAATTAAAAATTTAATCTAAAAACACACTTCACTATTCAACTATCAAAGTTATAAAATTGAAATCTTCTATCAGAAATACACCCACGACGACAAAAGTTCAACACCACTGTCAATTTCAGGTTATATATGCATGATAAAAAATATGTGACATCACACAAAATATGACAGTAATTGACGTGGTGGGGGGGGGCACCACCACATCAATTACTGTCATATTTTCTAGACACCCCCCTCCCTTCCAGACCCCCGTGAAATACTATATGGACGGCCCCAAAGCAAACAAGTAAGAGAAAAACTTATTCAACACATGACTATATGATCAGCAAAGTAGACAAACCCTGAAGTTGACTAAAGTAGACAAACCCTGAAGTTGACTAAAGTAGAAAAACCCCTGAAGTTGACTAAAGTAGACAAACCCTGAAGTTGACTAAAGTAGAAAAACCCCTGAAGTTGACTAAAGTAGACAAACCCTGAGGTTGACTAAAGTAGACAAACCCTGAAGTTGACTAAAGTAGACAAACCCTGAAGTTGACTAAAGTAGACACACCCTGAAGTTGACTAAAGTAGACAAACCCTGAAGTTGACTAAAGTAGACAAACCCTGAAGTTGACTAAAGTAGACAAACCCTGAAGTTGACTAAAGTAGACAAACCCTGAAGTTGACAAAAGTCGACAAATCCTGAAGTTGACAATCGCTACAAGAGGAACATTCGCTTTGCATTTCAGAGCCTGCAAGAGTCCCCAATAAAATTATTCTTAGTGATATTTTCCATAAGAATGTCAGAAAATAATCTGTGTCAAAAAAAAAACTCCCGCTGATCACAGTCCACACTGTTGAGATATATAAATTCTTAATAGACCGATGACAGTTGTCAATTGCCAGTCTATAACTGTAAACATCTGTGGCTTCATGAATTATTCAGCCACCAAAATTTCCTATTTAAAAAAAAAATAATATACAAAGTTGGTGTCAATTACAAATAGAGTATCAACCTGATCAATTCATGGAGACAGGCTGTTGAAATATTGTAATCTATGATCCTAAGTGTGTTAAACAAACCAACAATTGATGCAGTGCCAATCGATCACATTTAGCCGCATATGAGATGTGTAATGGGAGTCCAATAGATCACATAGAGACACACATCAGATGTGTCATGGGAGTCCAATAGATAACATTTAGCCACACATCAGGTGTGTCATGGGAGCCCAATAGATCACACAGAGCCACACATCAGATGTATCATGGGAGCCCAATAGATCACACAGAGCCACACATCACGAGTGTCATTGGAGCCCAATAGATCACATAGAGACATACATGAGATGTGTCATGGGAGCTCAATAGATCACATAGAGCCACACATCAGATGTGTCATGGGAGCCCAATAGATCACACAGAGCCACACATCAGATGTATCATGGGAGCCCAATAGATCACACAGAGCCACACATCACGAGTGTCATTGGAGCCCAATAGATCACATAGAGACACACATGAGATGTGTCATGGGAGCTCAATAGATCACATAGAGCCACACATCAGATGTGTCATGGGAGTCCAATAGATTACATAGAGCCACACATCAGATGTGTCATGGGAGTCCAATAGATAACATTTAGCCACACATCAGGTGTGTCATGGGAGCCCAATAGATCACATGGAGCCACACATCAGATGTGTCATGGGAGCCCAATAGATCACATGGAGCCACACATCAGATGTGTCATTGGAGCCCAATAGATCACATGGAGCCACACATCAGATGTGTCATGGGAGCCCAATAGATCACATGGAGCCACACATCAGATGTGTCATGGGAGCCCAATAGATCACATGGAGCCACACATCAGATGTGTTATGGGAGCCCAATAGATCACATGGAGCCACACATCAGATGTGTCATTGGAGCCCAATAGATCACATGGAGCCACACATCAGATGTGTCATTGGAGCCCAATAGATCACATAGAGACGCACAAAAAAAAGTTTATTTCCGCCATTTACTTTGTTTTGCAGATGTTATTGAATATTTGGCTTCAAATATAAACAAAAATTATATATTTTAATTGTTTCAAACTCTCTATATATAAGCATAATTTTTAAAGACATCAATACAGACACTATAGACTGCAGTTGACAGTTTAATATAGACACTATAGAATGCAGTTGACTGTTTGGTTTTATTTCACTTGGTCAACACTCTTTGGTCAACACTTGTACAAACGTTTGATGAGCAGAAGAAAAACAAAATACAACGCCTTCTCTTCATTTCTTCACCAGATCGTTCAAGTAACACTTTGAAAAGATTTCAAAACATCAGATCTCGTATTAATTGATCACCGATTGATTCTTAGTTTCATTCCCAATTGATCCAGGCCATTGGTGGCGGCATTCCTATCCACTGCAGAACAGCTGTTTCCAATCTTTGGAACCCACTGCCACATTTTCAGAGGCCATAAGGTGTGCACGGTAATAACTAAAATTGCGCCATTACGATGCACGGGAAACCATTTAAAAATATTTTTTTTTTTAAAATAACAAGTATTTCACATGCCTAATATACTTAGGATATGGACAGCTAATTCAGTAAATTAATGTGCAAGCTTTTAAGCTTATTCAGAACAGTAACATATTAGCAAAAAACAAATTATTATTATTATTAACGCATAGCAATGTTATGTCTGACCACCCTTCAAGCGTCCTGCCCCATTCTCGTTACACTTCTGCATCTACACGTGGGCAGACAGAGGATCAAGACAAAGCATGTGATTGGGGAACTATGAGTGGGGAGAACTGTAGGCTCGGGCGAAATACAAAAAAAAAAAAATTAAAAATTTTGTTTTACAGAAGAAAAGTTTTAAAACATTTTATTGAAAAAAAAAAAGTAAGAGCAGAGTTAGTCTCGTCCAAGAGTTGGTAGGTTTGGTATGTTTGGTATGTTTGGTATGTTTGGTATGTTTGGTATGTTTGGTATGTTTGGTGTGTTTGGTGTGTTTGGTGTGTTTGGTATGTTTGGTATGTTTGGTATGTTTGGTAGGTTTGGTATGTTTGGTATGTTTGGTATGTTTGGTGTGTTTGGTGTGTTTGGTATGTTTGGTATGTTTGGTAGGTTTGGTATGTTTGGTAGGTTTGGTATGTTTGGTATGTTTGGTGTGTTTGGTGTGTTTGGTGTGTTTGGTGTGTTTGGTATGTTTGGTATGTTTGGTGTGTTTGGTGTGTTTGGTATGTTTGGTAGGTTTGGTAGGTTTGGTATGTTTGGTATGTTTGGTATGTTTGGTATGTTTGGTATGTCTGGTATGTCTGGTAGGTTTGGTAGGTTTGGTATGTTTGGTAGGTTTGGTGTGTTTGGTGTGTTTGGTGTGTTTGGTATGTTTGGTATGTTTGGTATGTTTGGTGTGTTTGGTATGTTTGGTATGTTTGGTATGTTTGGTATGTTTGGTATGTTTGGTAGGTTTGGTATGTTTGGTAGGTTTGGTATGTTTGGTATGTTTGGTAGGTTTGGTATGTTTGGTATGTTTGGTAGGTTTGGTATGTTTGGTATGTTTGGTATGTTTGGTGTGTTTGGTGTGTTTGGTGTGTTTGGTATGTTTGGTATGTTTGGTATGTTTGGTATGTTTGGTGTGTTTGGTATGTTTGGTAGGTTTGGTAGGTTTGGTATGTTTGGTATGTTTGGTATGTTTGGTATGTTTGGTATGTCTGGTATGTCTGGTAGGTTTGGTAGGTTTGGTAGGTTTGGTGTGTTTGGTGTGTTTGGTGTGTTTGGTAGGTTTGGTATGTTTGGTATGTTTGGTATGTTTGGTGTGTTTGGTATGTTTGGTATGTTTGGTATGTTTGGTATGTTTGGTAGGTTTGGTATGTTTGGTATGTTTGGTAGGTTTGGTATGTTTGGTATGTTTGGTAGGTTTGGTAGGTTTGGTAGGTTTGGTGTGTTTGGTGTGTTTGGTATGTTTGGTAGGTTTGGTATGTTTGGTATGTTTGGTAGGTTTGGTATGTTTGGTATGTTTGGTATGTTTGTTATGTTTGGTATGTTTGGTATGTTTGGTATGTTTGGTATGTTTGGTAGGTTTGGTATGTTTGGTAGGTTTGGTATGTTTGGTATGTTTGGTATGTTTGGTATGTTTGGTATGTTTGGTATGTTTGGTATGTTTGGTATGTTTGCATTTAATTTGATGTCCCCCCAAACTATGGTGTCTAGTGTCGGTTGGTACAAGACACATCAGGTTTGTATTTTGTTTCGGGGGGGTCATCCCAAAGTAAGGGTCAATTCTTGGGTTGATCCAAGACATGGCAGGCTTGTAATTTTATTGGGGGGTGGGGGGTGGGGTGGTGGTGTCACCTCAAACTATGGGTCAAGTCTTGGTGGGAATGGACTCATTAGCCAAGTAAGGCATATATCCCTGGAGAGTGGTCATCCCAAACTATGGGTCAAGTCTTGATGGGATTGGACTCATTAGCCAAGTAAGGCATATATCCCTGGAGAGTGGTCATCCCAAACTGTGGGTCAAGTCTTGATGGGATTGGACTCATTAGCCAAGTAAGGCATATATCCCTGGAGAGTGGTCACCCCAAACTGTGGGTCAAGTCTTGGTGGGAATGGACTCAATAGCCAAGTAAGTCACATATCCCTGGAGAGTGATCACCCCAAACCTACAGTATATACTTGTCTATAAGCTTATCTCGTCTAGCCAAAGTCGTGGGCAGTTTTTTTTAACCAACAATCATGAAATATGATATGACTCAAGGATAAGTCAAGTGGAAAAAATGGGTCTATGAAATTCTGTGATTTTTAATGTCGTCAAATTTTACCTAGCAGCTCTGTATACTAAACTATGGCTGGTGTCCCTAGGCCTGGACTCTTTTGCAGTCAGTGGTATTTACACCATTTACATCAGTGTCCACTGGCTTGGTCTCACTCTTCAGTCAACAGCTGATTTTCTCTGTGTGTACCTGGTATCTGGGTCAACATACAGCCACCCGTAAGTACACTAGCACGACCACCAGTAACTGGACACTGCTCCCTCATTCAATGTACAAAATTCTATTGAAACTGGTACTGACCCTTTTATAAGGTGACTGCGTTTTAAAATGAAATTTACGGCTAAAATTCTCAACTTATACACTAGTATTTACATCAGGCTTAAGTGTTGGTGTGAATGGATAGCTGGAGAGGTAACATTCCTCAGTAAAATACAGGTTGGCATTGTTTAAACATCCACTGCCTTACAGTATTCTCACGAGAGATATTCAAGTTGTTGTTTTTTTAAATGTGTTTTCCTCAAGACTTCAGCAAGAGAAAGAATCATAAGATTGTATTACAGTATCATTAGAAATTTGTGCTAAGTTTTCATGTCAAAAACAAAAAAAAAGTTTAATAACAAAACCTGCCTTATACTAGCAGTACAAGTTAAAATTTCAAAGAATTTTCAAAAAAAAAAAAATTATCCAAAATATTAAAAAGAAAAAAAACAAAATAAACCATAATACCCATTTATTTATTTTCATTAAAAAAAATAAAAAAAAAATAAAGCCCAACAATTTATTTTAAAAAAATAAAAAAAAAAAAAAAAAAAAAAAAAAATAAAAAAATTATCCAAAAAAAAAAAAAAAAAAAAAACCAAATAGACCCTAATGCCCATTTATTTATTTTCATAAAAAAAAATAAAAAACAAAAAATGCCCAACTATTTATTTTCAAAAAAAAAAAAAAAAAAAAAAAAAAACAAATAATGCCCAATTATTTATTTTCATTAAACAAATTAACAAACAAACTATGCCCAACTATTTATTATTGATTTTAAAAAAAGCATGAAATTTAGTAATGCAATCAGTTAGACAAAAAAAAAATTAAATATATATAAAGAAGCCAAGCCAAGAAAAATTGATGTGGAGCCCCTTAAACCACCAAGCAAAGTGAGAGCACCTGAATAAGCATAGCACAGTGAGCAGAACCAACAGACTCGTTATACATCACTAATATACTCAAGTGCATTTGTAACAAAAGCCGGTTATAAGAACAAAAATACACACAGCGAATTTTACAGTTTCAATAACATCAATGAGAGCTGCCTTTGTTTATATGCAAGAATTACATATATAACTAGGATTTGGATTCAACTTTTATGCATTAAAAATTACAAAAACGCATAAATAATTATCTAAAAAGCATCTTTAAAACACATTTTTTAATGTTATATATATATTTATTGTAAAAATATGTTAAATGAAATCAAAACATTAGATCACAAATGGATAAGTTTGGTGTTAGTAAATTAATGCTTCCAAAAATGAGCATACAATTTGAAAATACATTCAAGAAAATATCGGGCATTACAACTTAAACAAAGCGCGTGGGTGATGATCCTTTAGAGTGGCTTAGTAATGAGGTACGGGATGCTTGCCGACACAGTATGTGAATTTGAGACAGAGTGTCACACAGCTGAATGGTATTACTACTCAAATAACGGGCCGCTATTAAGTGCCTAATTAACTTATTTTTTTTAGACATGGATTAAAAACACAGCTAACTTATTCATTTTGAAATAGTATGCCGCTAAAAATTAAAATTGTTAATTGTAAATAAAATTGAAATTTACAAGTATGGAAACTTTGCCTGAGGCTTATACGTAATTATCATTAGTTGTTATGACATACTGGTAATAAAAACTCTTTATTGAGCTTCCAAATTATTTTGTTAAGGAAATAATCTTATTTAAAAAAAAAATAATCTATTTCCTTATGGAGAATTTAAGGGTGCATAACTAATAAATTTATGGACACAATTCTGGCTTTGAAAAATGGGATCTTGACTAGCAAAATAAAAAAACAGTCTAGCAAGGTGCATTGAGACAACATAGAAGATTACGAAACATCAGGGGAAGGGTTGGGTCAAGTCTTAGTGACAGGCCATGGATCTACAATGGAAAAACTTAAACTGCTATCAACAACTAAATGATTCATGTAGGATTAGTTTCTAGGGGGGGAAAAGCTGCATCTCTAAGTCAACGATTGAAAATACACACTCATCAATCTACCATGTTGTTATTGCTTGTTATTTAAAACGTTATGTAAGTATAAACTGGGGTAGCCATTTAATTTTTTTTTTTACAATTCTTTTCTTACTGAAGTTGTTTATTTACCTGCTTCCTTCTTTTAGGTTCCTTTTTGCTGCGAGTGCTGCCCTTGCGTTTGTCCATTTCATTCTGTTTTGTAGATAGGATGTGAACTCAGTGTCATGTGAAAACCAGTGCCAAGAATGCAGGGGAAAGATTCTCAATTTGTGTAACAGCTATTGCACTTAGTCAATGGATTTATAGTAACATAGTGGCTACAGAAAGCTTTGTATGATTGTGCCTTCTTGGCCGTAGCACTTTCTCAAACCATGACAAGTATTGCACTTATTTAATTTATTTAAAGCAAAACTTTGCTAACAAAATTTACATGATTATATCTTCTTGGCCATAGCCCATCTGATGAAAAGTGGAATACCGATGCACGAATCCTGTGGCTGATTTAGAATTCGAATCCTAGTTCAGAGGTGGAGATGGCCAGGGGCATCAGTATTATTTTTCAATGTTTATAAATAAGGTAAGCAACCGATGGAACTGTGGTTCTCCCACCACCCATAACCACTTCCACGTGTAACCATTGAATCTGCCAATGCTTGAATCTATGGCCTGTCTGTATGTGATGTGATCCAATGTGGAAACACAGATACCAAAAAAAAAAAGCATGCACACAAGGCAATGCATACAAGAGCAAGGAGACTTTTATAGTGAACAGATAATGCAGACAGATAAAAAACAAGTAATACATCAGACTATATCCTAACATCCAATATGGGGAAAATATCTACAGACTAACCACACAGACAGACTACAAAAGAGCATATTTATGTTAAGACTTCCTTGTCTCTTAAGAGAACATTTCAAAACTGTTCAACTAAAACTAATACATGTAATTTTTATGCATTTTCATCAAATTAGAAAGTGCTAATAAAAATGTGTGGCTGGTGAATCTGGGTCTCTCCCCCCCCCCCACCCCCCCCGCCCAGCTCTAGGGAATCTGAATACAAAATAACCCACACAAGCTCTTAGGTGTCTTGGCCAAATAATATGTTTCAACCAGCTTATATTGTATTTTGGCCTGATCAAATTTTGTTCATTTTTTTTTTTTTTTAAACCATCAACTGAAGTCAGAAAAATAACTCCAGCTCCAACATATGTGTTAAGAGAAAAAAAAGTTTGAAGAAAACAAGACTTTGTCTCCCTTGTCAATTGTTGCTAAATGTAGCTATATCTTGCAAAACTTTCTTTTAAAGTAGATTATTGAAAAGATAATAATGGAAGTTCCTTTCAGCATAGTGAATATCTACGTTGCTGATAATATGACAACTTCAAATTCAGGCACTCCGTTAGTAGACATAAGTTAAGAATTTATTTTTATTTAACGGTCAACTATTGTGTCCATCACTACTGGAAGGTTTGAGATCCACTGATCGATAGGGCATCATTAATAGGCTTTTAAAGAAACTGATATCCCAAATAAACACCAATTTGAAACCATTGATGTGGGTAATTAACAGATACTTTATTTACAACGATTATTCAGCTGCAGATGTGCTGGGCCTAGTTGAACACTGTCAACGCAACTGTTACCTAAAATCTATATCTAGACAATGACACGGTCATAGCATTTCTATTTTCTCTAAGAAATATTATCATTATTTATGCTACACTTCATCAATTTTTTTAGTTACAAAATTTAGTAAAAAGATCTCATCATTTGAACTGATACACAAAGAAACACTGACCATCCCAATAGAGTAGATTAGTAGAAATGGAGGGAACTATATATTATAAAGAAAACTGTGTTTTTTTCCCAGTTTAATACCAAGCATGTTCATTTAAGCAAGATTGCCATAATCCAGGTTTTAATAAGTAGCTTCAATTGCCCAGGTACAGCAGATGTTCAAGCAAGCAATATATTGAACAAAACACCCCCCCCCCCCACCTCCCGAGCAATGACGTACAGCTTTGTGCAAGCTGTTGGGCCAGAGTGTAAATACTTCCTCAAAAAAAAAAGAAAAAGATGAATTGTTTTATGTTTACAGCTCAAAAGCACCGTATGCCGACAGCTTTATATGTGTGTGTAACTATAATCCTCTCATTTGTGAGAGACGGTGAGATGTGCATATGAAGGATGAAATGGTTGTCCTCACTGTGGTTGAACCGGAGAGTTGAATACAGATATATGACAGGCCGGAGAAGAAGATAAGATTGAAAAAAAAAATGAATACAAGTTCTTGATAAAAAATAATACAGTGAGCTCTCATATTTTTTTTTTTTACCATGTAAAAATTAACTGTTGTTCCTAGTTTAATACTTGACTGCACGCTGAAGACAAATTATGTGTTACTCAGTTTGGTCTCGTGAAACAGTTTTTGAAAATCCCCTCTTGTTGAATGGAACTTGTTTGCATTGTACAAGAGGTGATGTAACTGCCATAAAAAAAGGTTATGTCCGATCTAAGCACTGCCCCACAGTTGCTAGGTGTGGGTGAAATAAAGCCCAGTTTTTATTATGGCTCTGGTCTTACAGCTAACAGTAGGATAGTTCAATGATGAGAGTGACTGTAATTGAATTTAGGACAATCCGCCTCCTAAACACGGCAGATTAATAAATCAATACTAATTTCGATGCCGAGCCTGACGCCCGTTCTGGCTTAGTTAAAAAGATGGTAAATATCTTATGCTGCGTCTCAAAATAATTGTTGTTAGCAGTATATCCATTTAGTTATATTTTCTTTATTTTAACAAATAAATTGAAAATCTTAATCCAAATATTTTATGATTAAACTCTTTCATTAAACAACAAATTATTCCATGTATTGAGATTATTCAATAACTCAAACATAAGACACAGAACAAAATCTACCTTAACAAACATTCTCTTAATAATATACAAATTCTTCACAAAAATTTAATACCAGAAAAATTTAAACTAGCTTCCACTTTCTAAGTATAAATTTTCCATTTGAAATAAAGCACTCCCTTCGCTTTCCAATTTTTTTCAACCCTGTTTAAGCAAAATTAATTAGTTAAACTTACATTGTACCATCGGGTTTTCTTTTTCTCAGACTTGGATGTTTTGGTGGCACTCCCAGATGATTGCTGGTCTGGGGATTTCCCGCCTTCTTGAGCTGCCGATGAGTTCCAAGAATCCACAGAAAGGCTGAGATCAAGCAGTGATGATTTCTCAGAAGAGCATTTGTCTAATGAAAATAGGTGGTGAGATATTCAGATAAATTCAGTGAAAACTAATGATAAATTTCTTTGAGAACTAATGATAAATTTCTTTGGGCAGAGAGTCTGCAAGTTTAAAGACAAAAGTCTTGGTATAGAATAAGCATCAAAGTTAGATTGTGTCTAGTAATAGACCATTAATATACATAATTATTCATGAATAGAACATTAAGTAAACTGAGAATTATATAAAAACAATGTTGGACATGATTAAACAAGCACACACTATATAGTCAAAATTTTAGCAGATTGCTGGTAGACGCTGAAATGAATCAATATTATCAAAAAGAAAGTCGCTTGTAGATGTGGTGGTCCTTTTCTTTTCTGGGAATAAAATTTAAATTACCAAGCTTCTCTTATTTTTCATTTCTTTTTATTCTATTGCCTAATTTTCATTTAAAAAAAACCTAAACAATTTTGATAACTTAAAATTTCAATTAGAGGACATTTGGGGAGCCATCCAAATGTAATAGGTTAAAAGGTCCCACCCTTAGGGTCTGTGTATTACATTAACAATTAAATCTAAAAGTTAAAAATAAAAATTTTGATTAAATTAATCAGAATAATTTTTATTTCACTATTGAAAATAGTACATTCATACATATTTTTGATAATAAAATTTAGGGAAATACAGTTACATTTCAAAATTCATCACAATACGTTATGAAAAAATTCAGGTACAGGGCATTTCATATTGTGGTACACTAGCAAAATGATTTTAAATGCAAACTATTGACTAGAGAAGCTTTAAAAGTTGGGTGTACTTTCATTTTGTTTATTTCAAATCAAACATCAGATTTTTTTAACACCATGAGCTTAAAAACCTCACATTTCCAAAACACTTATTAAGCACATTTAGTTTCGATAGCATTACATCTTACACAAAAAAATCATTAAAAAAATCATTCAAATCGATTTTCTAGTTCAAAGTGTTTTTATTTTATTTGGAAGGGACTGTTATTATAGGGGTCTTTGTTTACATTGTGAAACTCGTGCATGAACTCTGGGTGACCCCAAGTTTGGCAGCGTGACAGGGTGTGACTTAATTAAAAATTGTCTCCCTTGACCTTGATTACACGTAAATACAGTCTATAGTCTATATAATTAGAATCCTTTAGAACGTCGAGGACTGATACAATGCTGAACGCATTTCTGGAAAAGTCTCTAAAAAGACTATAAATACGCCCATCGACATAATATGAGAGAGAGATTGGCTATTACAATATGAGATGTGAGGGATGAGTGAATAGACTTTTGCTATTACGATACCAGACAAAGATGTGTATATTAATATTTCCTCTCTCTGTTTGTGTGTACCTTTTTCAACATTGTACCGGTACATTGCTGAACTGCAAGTCAATAGCCTTAATTTTATGATATTTGATTTTTCTATTATAAAGTTAAGTTAATAAATTATTAATTGTAATTAGCCCTAGTTTCGGTATCGCTCTTTATGGCTTTATTTAATTAATGGTATCATCCTTTGTTATGTACCGCTTTACACGAGCCACAGAGTAAAATAAGAGATTACATTCTCTATATTGTATAGCGGTATGTAGCAGGACAACGTTGTATTCCTAATCTCACCTAGAATATTATCCAAGGATCTCTCAAAAGACCGAGAATTCCTGTTGCTGTTGTTAATCTCATAAAAGTCCTGTGCTGAGCTGGGCCTCTTTTCCAACTGGGGCAGCAAGCCCATCCCACTGTTTGTGCCAAACTCTGTAAGACTGTGGTCTCCGCCATCAGAGAAGCTATTTCTTCCAGGCGGTGATTCAAACGTGTTGTGTGGCTTGTCTGGGGATGCACTTCGACTGCAGTTGGCAGAATCCAGTGACGGTGATCCATCTTTTACCCCCTCATCACTAGTTCAATAAATATAAAACAACATTAACAAGTCAATATGATGCATTTTCTTGTCGTCATCACAGTAGCTTTTGAATGTATTTTGTTTGTTTTGAAAACTGTGTACAAGGCAATTAAAGATATCATACTTTTATTACATTAAAGGGGTAAAAAATAGAACTAATTTCTCACCTTTCTCTAAGATCAGTAGAACTAGCTCTAGATGATGGTCTCTGCGGCCCAGGTGAAGAAAGTGATTCTTGACTTGAATTCAAATCTTTGGAGCGGCGACTGAAAATAAATGTGATAAAAAGGAACTGAACATAATTTTAAGATACGAGAGAAACTTTGGCAGTTCTTTGAAACGGAATTATGGAATAAAATGCAGTATTTTCTAGCCATCTAGCTTGGTGTTTAACGAAAAAATTTCTACCAATGTAACAGCTTTAACAATAATATCCAATCAGAAAGGATTTTCAGATTCATTTAACAATTAAATCTTTAACATATGAACCACAAAATTCTGTCTTTTGGCATATAGCTGTATGGGAGGCTCTGCACCTGGATATCTTAAAGAACTTATTTCTAAACATATATCCTTAAAGACGCTGCACTCTTCATCACAGTCCCTTCTTAGAGTTTTCAGTGTGGATGGACACAGATAGAAGCCTTTTGGTGTGGGCTCTTTTGAAGCAATAGCATCTAAATTATGGAACAGTTTGCTTCAGTCTTTGGGGGATTTTAAAAGGATAAAAAATCATTTAAGAGACATTTAAAGACATTTTTCTTTAAATAGAGATTATGACATCAGAGCGCTTTTAGCATGCTAGAATAGCATAGACACAAGTGCTATATATATATAATCAATCATCAAATAAATTTTGAATATATTTCTACCCACATAATCATATGTATGAATCAAAAGGAGTTCTTTTTTTTTCAGTATAACCCAAAAATTAAATTTTAAAAAATTGCCGTCATCAACAGCTATTTCCACACTCAGGAATCCAGAGTTGTTAAAGTCTATTCAATGATGTAGACACACTGACTAGAAACCGTTTACATGGACTCACATCACAGTTTGAAGACTTATTATTAAGATGTAAAATAAAATAATTATTTTTTGGAACAGACTACATATGTTACAGGCCTTATCTAAATGAATTGCACCAAAAATGAAAATATGCCACTGAAATGTGGTTGCTGTGTTGTAAAAGAATTTGTTGTACAAAAAATGTGATTTGATGGTGTAATAATCAAAAGATTATGACAGCCTTAATTCAGTTAACATCTTATGCACTACATAACACCAGACGAGCTGCCTCCTTTTATATGTTTATTATCAAATGTTAGTCTTGTACATAGAAAGTTGAGTGATTTAGTCATAAATCAAATGACAATTGAGTGAAAACATTACGGCTGGTATTTTAGTATTATTTCTGGGTTGTGAAAGAAAATTGTGTTTTAAGGATCTAAAAAATATGTTTTTCTTCATATTAGCCAACTTTTTTTTTATCAATTACCATTTACTTCATTTACATTTATTGCAGCGGTCTGAATGTGAATGACATTGTGAATTATAAATAAAGTTACACAATTTTTACACATGCCTTTTCTATTTTAAAACTTGGTGCAACAAATGCACTTAACAAATTGTTGCCCAGTTCCAAGAAGAAAAATTTTAACATTGTTAAGTAGAGGCATTGTAAAAATTGTTATATCATATTGGTAGAACTCATTAGTGATCTCACCTAATTTTAATTAAATAAAAACGATATACCAAAATGTTGTTTTTTCCCCCTGCAGTTGGACAATAACAGCGGTACATTAAACTAGATTAAGCTATAAGAAAGTTGTTCCATACCTGATAAAAAATAAATAAAACCGTTATTAAGATATTTCCATTACTTAAAAAATGGTTCGTGGAACTCAAGAAAAAAATTAGGTATGTCTAGTTGAATCAAACCATTGGAAGAACTATTTCAAACATAAAGAACAAGGGACTCCTTATTGTTTCTGTGAAGAAATTTAATTATTTATAATTGTAAAAACCCAACCATAGATAAATGTAGCTTACCGTCTGACAGTCAGATTTGGTGACATTTTAACATCCACATTTATAGATTCTACATGAAGAGAAGGACTGTGTTTTTGTCTATGCTCCCTCATACTGCCACCACTTATTCTACGAAGCTCAGGCTGTTCTACAGTTAGGGAAATTCTTTGCACATCAGATGTTTCCTTTTTTGAATACCTCAGATTTACCATACTATTGCTTGTGTCACCATCATTCGAGGAGTTCATTTTATTCCTCGCAAAACTTATGGAACTCCTATCTTCCTCTATTGCATTCATTTTATAAATCTGCATAAAGCAGAAATTTGTGCTAAGTGCACAGAACTGTCAATTCTTATTAAAAACCTATAAATACCATTTTTTTTTTCTCTCAGAGTGTACCTCAGCCCAAATGAAAGATGCTTTGGAAAAATTTATAAAAAAATTAATAAATGAAAATGAAACTGGGCCTATGCCTATACCTTTAAAAAAAAGATTTAATTAAGTTTAGTTCAATAGTTAATGGATTTTCAGTATTAAAATTTATTTCTTTTATGTTTAAAATTCAAAGTTAACCTCCTTGAAAGGTGTGAGTGTAATGATTGGTTATGATATCTGTTTGGCCATGACATTTTGACTTAGTACCGAATTAATAGAGTGTTTAGACCTACTTAGACTCAGACTACTAGTGGTACTACTCTACTACTTATAGGTCTAATAAGCATGTTATGTTAAGCTAAAGTGAAGAGATAGCACCCTGGTTCCAATAGGGTCAAAACCCTGGTTCCAATAGGGTCAAAACCCAGGTTAGGGATAAGTTTAGCGTTCAAGTTAGGTTTAGGGATAGATTTAGGGTTCACGTTAGATTTAGGAATACATTTAGGACATAAGTTCACGGGTCGCGGCAACCAAGGTAAAAAAACGCAGTGCTATCTATTCACATTTACCGCGAGTTATGTAGTATTAATAAGTAGGATGTAGTGACTATTAGTACTAGTGATGTTAGTCTAGTCTCATAACTGTTTTTTTTAAAGTAGCTATTGTCATGCCCAACTCATTGAATGCCTATCCTATACTTAGTAGACATACTGATAGTGTAAGTGTATACTGTATACTAATATAATTATAATTATGTAGTCTTACTTAATTATTTAGACTAAATATTGCATATATTTCTATTAGATTTGTGTTTCTTGTAATAATTTAAGAATTTTAATTTTTCTATTTAATAACCATAATTGTGATTTTCACCGTGTGTGAGCATGTGTGGGTTTATAAGTTCTTTACTTTTTTAGAAATAAGAAAGTAAAAAAAAAAACCGAGATGTGAACTGTCAGAAGCAGAGACTGTGTGTGTAGAATGGACAGAAATGTTTTAAGATGGAAATTTTAAAATATATTTTAACACATCCTTAAAAGAGATTTCTCACTGCCACTGCATTTTCTTAAAACCAACGTCCCAAGAATCACAACTGCGAAATCTTAAGTTTCTGCCTTTGTTGACATAAAATATAGACTTAGCTTTCACAAAACAGGAAGTTGGCAACCAACAAGGACATTATCTAAAAATAGATATGTTTAAAAAAACCAAAAAAAAAACAACTATAGTTTCGCAAATAAATTTTTTAAAAGAAAAGGGAATTAATTGAGTTTGAATAAGCTCTGTATATAAATTTAAAATATATATATATATACATTTTTAATAGTAATAATAATAGCAAAATACATTTTTAAAAGTTCTAGTCCCAGCTTTTCTTATGCTAATAGCCTGCCATTTTAACTTTAACTTAAAACACGAATTGTATTTTTAAAATAGTGAGTCAATTATTTAAAGCTCAAAATAGAACTTTTTATAAAATTACTTAATTTTTAAGTATAAATTCATAGGTAAAAAATGCATTGAGCGCATGTATAACTAGTAATTTGTACGACTTACTGTTAAAATAAACTTAAAACTGAATCTGTAGAGAAATCTGGCATAGTCACATTCCGGGTGTTAAGGAAAACAATCATGGAGTTCGATGATGATCCAGCGGACGTAAGTTTACTTTAAATTGTAAAAGATTCGTGTATTTGAAGTTATTTACAAGTTACTTTTATACTGCTTACCGTCTGTATAATCATGCTGATTTTTTCTTCTTACACTATTTCCACACAGTAAAGAATAAGAAGCTTAACTATTTACAACTCTTTGAAGTCTTTGTCGTATCTACTACTAAGTTTACTAAGTGAAACAAAGTGAACCAGTTCTGATAAACTCACAAAAGCACTTTCAATAGAATAGCAAAAGCATATCATATAAATTAATGATAATAGCCTATTAATTTGAATTGAATAGCCTGAGGCTAAGAATTTAGCAGTGTTTACTGTTACTTCAGTTCTCTTACTCTTGCTTTTAGTACTCTAGGCCTAGGTACTTCACTAAAAAACAAATATAAAAATTATACAGTTGTATAGAGCAAATTCCAAATAAAAAATGAAACCGGTATCAACTTTTGAGCTTACTATTCTGTGACCCGTTTGCTATTCTCGTCATGTGCTATATCTTGTGTTTTAATGATAATTATAATTTTGAAAATTCAGCATACTCTGGTAAAACAATAAATAAATTGTAGCCTAGCATATCTAGCTATCATTGCTATAGTTTTATTGATAACTTTTGGTTTTGATATGCTATTCAATTAACTAATCAAAGGCTGTACCGCTCCATTAAAAAATGCTCGGTAGGGACTACTTCTATTATCATTTTCAATTTACAGTGAAAAATAAAGTTATTTACATGGTGGAGTGAATGACTTTGTCAAATCTGACGATATTGAGATCCCTTTCATTAATTTAAAAACAGGAATATGTCTTAGGGTTTACTACAGCTGCTACAATTAACCGAGGACTTATGTCTAATCATATCTAAAGGGCTATCTAATTTATCATCAGCTTACATTATTTCAAAATTGGATGGGTATAAGAAAAAATTTGATAAAAAATTTTGACCTTAAACAAGCTATATTCATTTAAAAGTTGTGATCTACCCATTTATGAATGCTGCAAACATGTTAGGATGCACACAGAGTGAAATGGAGATTATTTATGTTTTATTGTTGCTATGTTGTATATGGAGACTGTTTGGCAACTTTTGGATAAAATAGATAAACTTGCTCAATGCCGCTTGGCATTGTTTGGATATAAAGTGTTAAAAATGTAAGAAATACTTTCTTTGTGACGAAAGGCAATTTCAAATATTTCATTTTTGAAATTACCCCAAGTGCAATAATTATGCTTTGAAAAATGTGTAGTAAAAAAAATGGAGTTGCACCCCATGTTATTAGTAATTTTACTGTTAGGTCATTGTTATTTATAACTATTTTTGTTATCAACTGTGCTAGATTGGACACTGAATAAGAAAACAATATATTGACAAGAGTCTGAACCTGAATCTAACCCATCCCCTCTCCTGAAATATTGCCTTTATAATTTAACTTAATTTTTTTTGTTTGATATGAAATTTTAAGTAACTTGAGACTTACATTTTTTGTACTATGCTTTCTCGTGTTTATATGAAAATTTTGGTATAGAAATTGTCAGTTCATCATAATTTGTTGCTCCTCTTATTTCACACAATCATACTAAGTTGTCCCTTCTTCCACTATCATAACCACACAATAATTCTTTGTTGTCCCTCCTATCTGCCCCACACAATCATACTTTTTTGCTCCTCCTTTCATACCCAGACAATCATACTAAATTGCTCCTCCTATAGATACCAGCCATATCTCACGTCCCTCACGAAAAAAAAATCAGATGAACAGAGAGCAAGCTTTTGGAAGACATTTTTACAATTTTAATAGGGAGCCTATAAATATATTATTGGACATTTTTCTTTTACGTTATTTCTTTTAACTAATGGATATATTAGCGGAGACGTATGAATTTGTATTTTGTCGTATGATAATATTAGAACTTTTATAAATACTGTTTCGTTTACACAGATTGTGTCTTATCAACATATTTATAAGATTGACAACTCATTTGAAAGTATCACAGGGCGACCTACCCTCACCCGGCTAATTTGAAAATCCTTTTTCTGGACCGATTCACTTTTTTTTATCTGGTACCATTATGCTTATCAATGTAGGTATAGGCCCTATCTCTTATCACCAGATTCAAATAAAACTAACAGTGTGTTTCCTCATGGATAGAACTTTCTGCGGTTTTTTACAAAAAATGTATTTGTTAATGGATTTGTACTTGTATTACTTAAATGTGTATGGCATACAGAGGCGGAGCTAGAGTGTTTGGCACCCGGGGAAAAGAGCCTCCCTTTCTTTTTTTCAACTCTCAAACCCCCTATTTGCATCAATTAAATAATATCAAAGCACATTTTGGCGCCCCTAACTAGTCTGGTGACCAGGGACATCTGTCCCTCTGCCCTGCCCCCTAACCCCCTTAGCTACGCCTCTGATGGCATAACCTATTTAATCCAATAAACACCCTAGCACAAACCTGCATTCGTTTTTTCAAATTTTGACATTTGACTAAGAACTTAGGACAGGTGTTCCCAAACCTTTTAAAATTCTTTACGACCTTTCCGAATTCAGGTTTGACCAGGCCCCTCCTCGTCAAATTATAACACCGCTTAAACTATCGACCACCTTAATTATCGAAGAGTGTTATTTTGTTACTATGTGTAGCCTCATGTAGAGATACAGTTATTAGTAACTGAATTACTGGTTTGATGCGAACTGTTTGGGAACCTCTGATTTAATTCACAGTTAAAGTTGAAGGGTGGTGGTGGCGAAATGAAGGATACAGCTCCCTTCCTCACCCTTATCCCGGGTTAGTTACAAAAACACAAAGCAACAAACCTATGTTATTACCATTGACTTGTGATAAAATTTCGTTGAAAAATTTTCCACCCCCCCCCACCCGAAAAACACATTAAGTACGAGATGGCTGGCAAATGACATGATGGCTGTAGTTCAAGTAAAAATAGCGATCCAACCCTCTTTTTTTTGGTTCGGGTCCGATCGTCAGCAGGGTTCGAAATCGGTGTGTTCGGTTCGGGTTTCGGTTCGATTTCTATCTCTAATTGTAAGGTAGGTTCGATCCCTGCAGGATGGCGTACATGTGCATTTTTTTTTTTTTTTTTTTTTTTTTTTTTTTTTTTTTTTTTTTTTTTTTTTTTTTTTTTTTTTTTTTTTTTTTTTTTTTATATAAAAAATT